TATCCAACATTCTACAGTTGCTAAGCTGGTTGAATGTTTAACCTATATCTGTTTGTATCCAACATTCTACAGTTGCTAAGCTGGTTGAATGTTTAACCTATATCTGTTTGTATCCAACATTCTACAGTTGCTAAGCTGGTTGTATGTTTAATCTCTATCCGTTCTTACCTTTAGCTCCCAAACCAACGGGTCGACGACCACGAAAACCGGGAGTGGAGAGAAAACCTCGGCAAGCCTATTCTGCCAAACAATTAGAAAGATTGGAAGCGGAATTCAAGGTGGTTTTTCTCTTCATTATCTTGAACACAACCTTATAATAACCACACTGACTGAAACATCGATAATTAAAATGATCTGTTTCAACTACAGTCTGTTGTTTTAGCATCGTTACATTTAGCAAAACTAGGCTGATCAAAACCTACACCATTCTTAAAACTTGTTTCAATTATCGTCCGTTGTTGTGGTATCGCCACCAACACTCTTAAACTTATGAAGTATCGTCTATTGTTGTGGTATCGCCACCAACACTCTTAAAACTTATGAAGTATCGTCTATTGTTGTGGTATCGCCACCAACACTCTTAAAACTTATAAAGTATCGTCTATTGTTGTGGTATCGCCACCAACACTCTTAAAACTTATGAAGTATCGTCTATTGTTGTGGTATCGCCACCAACACTCTTAAAACTTATAAAGTATCGTTTATTATTGTGGTGTCGCCACCAGAACTCTTAAAACTTATGAAGTATCGTCTATTGTTGTGGTATCGCCACCAGCACTCTTAAAACTTATGAAGTATCGTTTATTATTGTGGTGTCGCCACAAGCACTCTTAAACTTATGAAGTATCGTTTTTTTTTCGGTTACACTGAAACCATGAAACTGTTTTATCAAAAATTGTAAAATTCGTTCCCAGGTTAACATCCAATACTTAATTTTTAAAAAGTATTCTTTATTGTAAATCTATTAGTGTTTACTAATTTCTACTGAGAGAATGATTTAATAAAAGTAGTCTTTATTGTAAACCTATTAGTGTTTACTAATTTCTACTGACAGAATGATTTAATAAAAGTATTCTTTATTGTAAACCTATTAGTGTTTACTAATTTCTACTGACAGAATGATTTAATAAAAGTATTCTTTATTGTAAACCTATTAGTGTTTACTAATAATTACTTATAATTACATGCAAATTTGAAATCAAAATCATATTTAAATTTATTAAATAAATAAATAAATCTTGTTATTGCTGTACGTATAACAAAAACATCTTATTTATTACTTTATGCCATGCGCCTTAGATCAAATCTTGTTAATGTACATCATACGCATTAGATCAAATCTTGTTAATGTACATCATACGCATTAGATCAAATCTTGTTAATGTACATCATACGCATTAGATCAAATCTTGTTAATGTACATCATACGCATTAGATCAAATCTTGTTAATATACATCATACGCATTAGATCAAATCTTGTTAATGTACATCATACGCATTAGATCAAATCTCATTATTTTACGACATGCACATTAGATCAAATCTCATTATTTTACGACATGCACATTAGATCAAATCTCAATATTTTACGACATGCACATTAGATCAAATCTCATTATTTTACGACATGCACATTAGATCAAATCTCATTATTTTACGACATGCACATTAGATCAAATCTCAATATTTTACGACATGCACATTAGATCAAATCTCATATTTTACGACATGCACATTAGATCAAATCTCATTATTTTACGACATGCACAACAGATGTTAGTAACCTCATCCTTTTTTTCGCCAGGTCGACAAATACCTGAGTGTCAGTAAACGCATGGAGCTATCAGCAGCTTTAAACCTCACTGAGGTACAGATTAAGACTTGGTTTCAGAACCGGAGGTAGGAAGCAGCTCGTTCTTAAAGCTCATTTAGCACAGAGTAATACAGCGTCTTTGTTATAGATTATCACAGAGTAATATTACGTCTTCATTATACATTAGCACATAATAATATTATGTCTTTGTTATAAGTTAGCACAGAGTAATGATACGTCTTCATTATAGATTAGCACATAATAATATTATGTCTTTGTTATAAGTTAGCACAGTGTAATGATACGTCTTCATTAGCTTAGCACACAACAATATTACGTCTTCGTTGTAGATTAGCACAGAGTAATATTACGTCTTCGTTACAAATTAGCACGGAGTAATGTTACGTCTTCATCATAGATTAGCACAGAGTAATATTACGTCTTCCTTATAGATTAGCACAGTGTAATATTACGTCTTCATTATAGATTATCACAGAGTAATATTACATCTTCGTTATAGAAACGTTTACAATGAATGATGAGGGTGTTTTTTGCTTTACTCGATCATGTTTGTCACATTTTGACCTTTTGACAAATAATCAAGTTCATAAATAGCCACGAGTCTATCTATCTATATGGTAGATTATTTGAGCTAAAGGGGCAAGTCGTCTCTGCCCCTAACTTTGAACTGTTGATCATAGAGAAGCCAGTCTGCCAGCAACACCCGCCGTCCACATGGCTACTCTTAACCAAATATTGAAAATATAACTATCGTTTTTATAACACGATCACAGTATAGAGCATGTTCAGTGACATAACGGAGGCTCGAACCTTTCACTTTTCTAACAGGCAACTCATTAAACACGCTAACTGCTAGGCCTAACTACTAGGCCACGCTCGGACCTTAATTTTATAGTATTTGAGTCATTCATAAATTTCTTTCTTTATGGATCTCAAATGGCTCAGAACGGTAGGTTTGAGAACTAAAAATCTATTGTGTAGCTTTACGCTTAGACCTGTTACTTATATTATGTTAAATATCACCTTAGTTGCTCCTCTATAGAACATTCTCGTAAATATGGCCAAGAAATGAAATTTTAAAAGCAAAAAATCATTTGATTAAAATTTTGTCAGAGAAATTAAAGAAAAAAACCCGGAATCATATTAACATATATGATTAGAAATGATATATAGTGTCATCTGGCGGTGATTATGTGCCGCCAACATTTGCCGTTAGGAAGCGGATGGTGCTCACTAATTTACTATACCTGAACTTTTGGGTCTCTGATATTATTGTTTCGTTTAAGTTGCCATTCAGCATGAGAATACTAAATAAAATGTTAATAAATTTCTCAGCTTCCCTAAAAGGGTTACCTGAAAAAAAAAATGGAACGTAATATCAGGAACACTTATAAAGAAACTGTCACGTGACTGTTGTTGACGCAACATAAACTCTGTATTGTTTTTAGCTTATCCTACTATGGAACGTAATATCAGGAACACTTATAAAGAAACTGTCACGTGACTGTTGTTGACGCAACATAAACTCTGTATTGTTTTTAGCTTATCCTACTATGGAACGTAATATTAGGAACACTTATAAAGAAACTGTCACGTGACTGTTGTTGACGCAACATAAACTCTGTATTGTTTTTAGCTTATCCTACTATGGAACGTAATATTAGGAACACTTATAAAGAAACTGTCACGTGACTGTTGTTGACGCAACATAAACTCTGTATTGTTTTTAGCTTATT